CAAAGTGAACACATTTTCTGCAGTAAATCGTTGTGGGAACGATTTGAGGAATGAAGGAAAGAGAAGGTAGGAAGAAGAAAAATACTGGAAATTTTTTAAAGTTTTACTTGAGTAGATTCACCTGACCTCTAACCTCCGGTATGCACATGCACGTGCAGGTGGGTGCGTGTGTTTGCGTGCACGTTTGTGAATATGAGCGAGGGGTCAGTGAGTACATCGGAAGGCTGCAATGCCCTGGTGAAGCGCTGTGACTCCCATTGTTTTCTGTACTGAAATAGTCTGCTGGGACCTTCAGCAACAATGGCCCTGGACAATCAAAGAGTGGCACACTACACACACACACAAAGACAAAAGAACACACATTCACACATCAAGGAGCTAGTTGAAGTTTGCTCTCTCAGTTGGTTTGATTGAGTGGAAGCAGTCTGCTGTCTGCTGGCTCATCAGTAATGAGACTTTGAGTGACTGACAGTCGGGGTTAATGAGTTTAAACCTCAGAGACGAGCAGGGAGACGCACTGATGGGACATAACACTCGATGAGATAAGATAATGGTGCTTCTGTGCTCTGCTTTTCCTGTTAATTGTATGCTATCTTGTCCTTAATGTGTGTTTGCATGTTGGATTTTCTAGTTTGTGCGTTTTGTGGACTCCAGATTTTGGCTGCAGGGAAAAGTTTAATTTTGTAATGCGAACCACTGAAAACGCTCTTGCTTTATGTTTAAGTAAAAGAGATGATTTGGTCCTGTTTTTGTTTATTAAAAAAAAATGTTTTTAAAAATCTTGTCTGTTAAAAGGAGGGGATTTGTCTCTGGAGCATAAACAGATATAAGGAATTAACATTATGGTCATTTAACAGAAGTGCAAATTAAATCAGAAATACTATAAATTTATGTTATAAACTTTCTAGAATTTGTTTTAGTTAAGTTACAAAAAATAAAATAATTTATGATTATTTACTTTTGGCAGTTTTTGCTCTCCATAGAATTTACCCTTTTCATTTCTACTTTGATTTTGGATATATATTTTCAGAACATTTATTTACATAAATTGATAAATGTACATCATAGCGATCTTATGTTAATGCACAAGCATTTGTCTTGTAGTCTCCAGTGGGAAGGTCATGAACACATTCAGCACCTGTTGAGTATTATCATAACTTAGTTTTTCTGAAGTATCCCTTCATTGCAGCACAACAAAAGCCACTTTTGGCAGTACACTTAATCACAAAGGGTCATGACGGTGAGCAACTCCACATCTTTGATTTGGCAGATATTTATTTTTTTTTATTATTATTATTTTTAAATAATTTTTTTTACCCTGGATGCCCTTCCTGAGGCAAAGGGATATGTGTCATCAAGCCAGGGCTCATGGAAATGTGAAAACCACTCAATACACATGCAAAGGTAGCAAGTGTTTTTCACCAAGAGTCATCTAAAGTATCTTAAATAAAGTGTAAGCTGAATATTGGAAACCAGTAATATATTGAAATCTACAAGAGTCAGTAAAAACACTTTAAGCCCCACAGTGTCCTAAAACAGCAGTGATCCCACCCCCATCAGAGTTCCTTCACCGAGACTGTAAATCTGATCCAAGTGGTGATAAAATGTCCTCTTGTATGTACTTTCCGCTGTATGGAATAATGTAAACGCGTCCAGAACACACATGACTGCCATTTTTCCTGGCATTTAGCTGCTGTGTTGTGTAAAGCATCGGTATGCACAATGGTTGAATGGTTCAATGTACACTTTCTATATGGGCATGCAGGACGTTTTCTGTTGTTCGACCTTGTCATAGCAAGAAAACACTTCTTTAGTCGCCTCACTTGGTTCAGTATTTCATCAGGTGTTTAATTTGGCACTTTATTCTCTTATCTCAGTGGGTTGTAAGTCTCCGCTTCAGAAGAGATCTTTTACGGTGTGAAGGCATCTGGCTTCTTTACCTTTTAACCTTGGTGCCAAAATATTTGTTTCTTCTGCACTGTTACATTTTCTTTCTGGCCCTGCATGTTGCAGTTCTGCCACAGATGTGATCAAGTCTGATAAACCACATCGTGTCACCACTGACAGAGGGCATGTGAAGTTCAGCAGAGCTTCACCTCACCTGTTGTGGTTTGTAAAGTTATCTTTTCCGTAGAGGCTGCTCACAGATCTGAGGGTAAAAAAGCTTTTTGTTCACAGCACTTTTTTTTTTTTTTTAACTTAACCTGTTTTTGGCTCTTGTTAAAGAACAAAATGCTCAGTTTAAATCTGTATGAGAAAGGTCCCACTTAATTGTATCGGAACTTTTATTTTAGTTTTTTCTTTTCTGCATTTTAGGATGGAGATTGTAAAAATGTTTCTGTCTTGTTACTCAAGAAATTTTAAAGTGAATTTTGTTACTTAAAAAAATGAATTAAATGCTGTTTTACCTGAGAATTGATATCCCAGAGCCAAGCTAATACACTTTTATGAACTTAAGGTGCAGATACCTGCTTTTTAATGCCCAAATAAAGTACTACACCACCAGAACTGGAGCCAAGACTTTATAGATGGGTATTTATACAATAAACTACAATAAACTAGCAAAAGAGAGTATAACTTTTAAGCCTTAAAAACATTTTAACGAATAAATTAGAAAAACAAAAAAGTCCTCCAAGTAATTCTAAACAGCTATACAGATGAAAACTGATTTTTGTAACAGACTCTAAATAATATGAAAGTCTATGACAATTGTCTCTTTTGGAGTAATCCCCAGGTGGTTGAGTGAGAAACTGCAGTAACTGCAAAAAACCCCAAACTATGCTGTATTCTGCTGTGTATCCATATTGGTCACTGTCTTATTTATAGTCACACCTGTTGCATAGTCATGCTGTCCCTGTCCAGGTATTTCAGCAGAGGTGATTCAGTGGATTTAAATGGAGCATGATGAGTCTGCTATTATGATGTTACCACAGTTTTATTATTCCATCCGGCAGCATTCTTCTGTCAGTTTCTTCCCCTGCTGCTGTTGCTTTGCAGCTTTTTCATATAAATCTGAACCCTGTTGCGCAACCTTACCAGTCCCATGTTGTGCAGACGGTATCCAGTGACTAAGAGTTGAATTTGAGCATACGAGGGAGCCCAGATAAAGCCAAACTCCACGTGTGATGTCCTAATATGGATTGTTGTGCTGATGTCTTGGATCAGCGATTAAACTAGGACTGTTTGCCTATTTGAGCTTTCACGTCCAAATCTGATGCATTTCTTTTTCAGAGCCTGGAGCCAAAAAAAAAGAAACCATATCCATGGAAAATTACCCAGAGTTCTGCTTGCTGACATAATTTGGCCCGCTCTTGTGTAGGCTTTGTTGGCGGCATTTTTGCTATAGCTTGACCGCCATGAAAAGATTTTCAGATTGCAATTTGATTGTTGAAGTAAACGCTTTTATCTTGGAACCTCGGTGCTGTGAGCAAAAGCTCTCTCCCTCAAACAACAAATGCATTAACCAGAGGAAATTAAAATAATCACCTGCCTACACGTCTTTAACCAGGTTTCCAATTTAAATTTTATTTTTAAAGACCAATTTACATCTATTAAAACCCATTTCCCTCGCATGGAACACAGACTCCAAGCGCGCTGTATAATCCTCCTGTTGGCAAAGTTCAAATTGAATTTTGCTCAATAGGTTTCACTAAATCCAAATATGAATGAGAAAGTTGACCAAAAATATGCATGAAAGTGGGCACGGGAGGTGAATGAGTTACCAGTGGGATGGTTATTTTTAAGATATTGTAATTGTTCTTTTAACATCAAGAGGAAAAGGTTGAGAAAAGCCAGTCTTTAGTTGGTTAGGGACTGAATTTTAGTGAGTATTCAAATCAGAAGCCAGGATGAACATCTTTTATAACAAGTTTAATGCATTTTTTTTCCACATTTCACTTTTTTCTCATAAAAGGATCTTTTGATCATTTTTGAAGTGTGCTGTTTCAGCGAGTACATATGTGTGTTTTTCATAGATATACAGTGTTTGTGTTAGTGACCTGGTGACTGATCTCTTCATGCAGGAAGTGAAGGAAATGGTGTCGCGTCATAAGAAGTTATTGTTTTCTTATCTCTAAATACATCTTTTTTGTGTTCCTTCTGTAGTTCTGCCTTGCAGTGTCTTTACTCGTTATACAAGTTATTTCTTTCCATTACACGGAAACTGTTTCTGCAACTTAAACCAGCCTGACTGCCAACTGCTGAACTGAACTGGCTTTCTGCATCTCAAACAGGGACGTCCCCTTCTGTACTGACAGACACTGATAGGCTTTGAAGCGATACCAAAAGCAGGAGCTGCTGAGGTGTATGTTTCTGTGTATGATGATCAATAACTGGTGTCAAGCTCACACAAAGTGAAATTCAGGTTCAATCGTAGTCCTTTAAGAAGCAAGTCAAGCAATTTTTGAATACTGAATATGTTTGCGTAACTTTATCAAAAAAGTGAATTCATGTGTGTTGGGTTGCAAAAACAAAGGCAGCGCAATAACATTTCTGCAGCTCTATTTGTTGTATCATTGATGTGAATTTCTGATATTGCTGATATTTCTACATGGCCCAGTTTGTTTCTGATGTGGAAATATGTAAGTCCTAATTTTTCAGGGGGAAAAAAAAGAGCAATTATTGTACCTCAGGGCTGCAGAAAAGCTTTATAAACCAACCACTTCTTTGTATTTATACTGAATGATGCATTGTATTCGAACTTGTGAGCGAACCCCCTTTGAAACGGGCACATTTGGTGCTTGTCGAATCACATGGGGATTTATGAGATTGGTTTCTTTATGCTGTGGTGTGCCCGCAGCAAGGTCGAGTAGGAAATTTTAAAGACCCCAGACAGTGAGTGCGTTCATGGAAGATTAACTGCTGAACGATACAGAAGAACCTGAAATATAATTATTAACGAAGACCGACTGTCTCATTAAGCCAACCGACTTCCAGAGTAACCGTATGATTATGTGTCATTGTTCATGTTTAAATGACCATTTGTCTGTTTTGTGGCGCAGGAGCAGCTCAGAGAGACGTAAGGAGAAGTCTCGCGATGCAGCGCGCTGCAGGCGCAGCAAAGAGACGGAGGTGTTCTACGAGCTGGCCCACCAGCTGCCTTTATCCCACAGCGTCAGCGCTCACCTGGACAAGGCATCCATTATGAGGCTCGCTATCAGCTTCCTCCGTACACGCAAGCTGCTCGCCATAAGTACGAACACTACACCACAGGCAGATACACACAGACTCACACAAATATGCACATGGGTGACAAACTAAAGGGAGAAATTGAGACTCCTGACTTGGTTTCAGTTATGAACATAGTCATAGGCAAATGCATGTCCATAGCATGTCTTTTATCCTCCTCTCACCCCAACCGGTCGCTGCAGATGGCCCCGGCCCTCCCTGAACCTGGTTCTGCTGGAGGTTTCTTCCTGTTAAAAGCAAGTTTTTCCTTCCCACTGTCGCCAAAGTGCTTGCTCATTGTTGGAATTTTCTCTGTATGTATTATTGTAGGGTCTACCTTACAATATAAAGCACCTTGAGGCAACTTTTGTTGCCACCAATGCTGTGATTGGTCTTTGCTGTCAAATATGTACGATTTTGGTCCTCCAGACAGGACTCCCTACCTCTAGGAGAACAGAATGAACTTGGGAGAATTGGCCATCCCTTCAGTAGAGTTCTTAGTGTGTCAATACCAAGGTGCTCTGAAGATGTGCTGTTCTTACAGCACATCAGCTCTTTACCAAGCCCATATGTATTTTTTTTCCTTTAATTTGTCACACACCTCTAAATGCAAATCGGTTCAAGCTTCCGTGCAGTGAATCTTAATTCGTTACACAAAGGAGAAAAAATTCAAACGGCACACCACCTCCCTCCAGCAGCTTCTTTGACGTGTGATCACAGATTTGCGTCGGCACGTTCGTGTGTGTGTCTGTTGCTATGTCGAGTTGTCCAGTAAAGCAGGAAAGTATTTGCTGGCGTCTTTCTTTGCACTTCTCCTCCTTCCTCTCGTCTTAGTTAAAATTAGAAGCCGAGGAAGCTTAACAAAGAATCAGACCTATTGTTCTGGAATTCCTCCACTGTGTCCGTGTCTCGAAATGAGATCAGAGAACCACAAAATTTAACAACCAACGTCAATTGTCAGCACTGCAGCTTGTTTAAAAAAATGTTTATTTTTCCTTAATAGAGCTAGAAAACTTGAGTTCACACAGGGGAGGAGGCGGTAAAGTGAGGTTTTAACCTTTGACACCTGTATGGTAAACTTCCCCACGATATCTTTAAAGTCAAAGCTGTTTGTGTATAGATGAGCAATATTCATGTTGTCGCTGATTTAAATGACTGTCTTTGTTTTTGGTTTTTGTTTTATTGACTGTGTCATTATAACACACGGAGGGAAAAAAATGTTGGCATGTAATTTAAATAATTCCCATCATTCACACTTTGTGAGCTGACCTGATTTATAATTTCTTTAAAACCATTTTTATAGCAATTAATAAAAGCTTTCAGCTCTACGACACCATAGTAATAAAACACAGGAAAGCACTGTGATTAATGCCATAGCTTAGACTTATCTGTAAATCTTTAGACTGCCATTAGTCTATTCTTATGTAACTTTTGATTTTTCTATTTATTGCTCTTTATTTATGATTGACTACTTTCATTGTTCGCAGAGGAAATAGCCATGCATTCAACCAGTGCTTCCTTAAACAACAATGATCACTACTTCCCATTTCTTCTTTGTAGACTATCATTAATCAGAGCATTTATGTGTCGTTTCTTTATTCATTTAGCATCTCAAGTAGGATTTTAGCGCACAAATTACACAAATGAAATCGATGCTTGATAAAGATGTGGAATATGGGCTGCGTTTCCACTAAAAAAAGAACAATTAATCAGGGTGTTTTACAAAGATTTAAAAAAAAAAAAAGCAATCCAGCAGCACATTCGTTGCGCGTTTGCCTGAGGTTAAAGGGTTAGTTAACCACAAAAAGAGATAAAAATGCAAATGGTTTCAGTTTCAAATTCCAAGATTTTGAGATATCCACCTGTAAAACATCTGCCTCTATCCAAACACAATGGTAGCTACTGAAACTTTCTCAAAGCACTCAAAAGCAGGGTTCAAAAGTCATTTGGGTGATACAACCAATTTAGGGTAATTAACATTTCCTGAAATTCCAGTAGCAGTTGTCAGACGTGCTCGCATAGATAAAGAAGTGTTAAAGGGGGGGAGTATGTATGAGATGTATGTAAAGGAGAGGTTAACAAGTGCGAACGAGAGGAGGAGGAGGAGGCGTGCACGGGGAGGAGCTGTAAAGGTAATGAGGGTAGGAAAGCAGCGGGTGAGAGGGGAGGAGAGCACAAGGAGATCCGTGAGATGCAGCTGCAGATACAGCATTATCAGGCCGGTCTGATTGCTCCGTGATGGAAGGAGAGATTGCGGAGGAAACGAAGAGCTCTGCCCATCGTTCGGCTGGTGCTGGCATTACCCCTGCTAGCCATAACAGCCGACTGCCTTGGCGCCAAACATGCTGGAATGCACCCTCACAAACACACAAACATACTGTATATGCACCCAAGAGCTGCTGTAGGGAACACCTCCCTTAAGTAACTTACGCTCAGTTGGGACCTGATGAACTTTGATGTACTGATTAGGAGATACTCAAAGGATTCAGCTGTATTTTTGTCTTGACTTTGACTTAACTTGGATCAAAATACTGTGAAACATATGCGTTCCTAATTGCAGAGGTCCCAGCTGTGTTTGAAGTAGAGTCCTACATTTTGGGAAATATACTGATTTACTGCCCTTTGATCAGGCGGCCAAATATTTTGTTTTCATCTGTACGCCATTTGTTCTCTGGCAAATTGCAAGTTCCCTCAATTGAGTTCATAATATATTACTTTTTTTTTTTTTAAAACGTAAATTATTATGCTCAGCATTCCAGCAACCCTAACGATTGGATAAGGAGTAGAATAAAAAGCAGATTGACCAAAATAAGGGGAAAAATATCGAAATTTCCAAACAACTATTATAACAGATGTTTTCAGTAGAGTGCTTTTATATTAAGTTACTGCTTTAGTAACATGTGCATAAATGACAGACAACTCTCCAACTGCATATGGATTTTCTTTTCTTTTTTTTTTCTTTTTTTTTTCTATTCTTGGTTGCGTTCATTACTGAATATTTCTCATCTTTTCAGAACACAATTTGTGTGTCATGCATTTGTTTTGTTTTTTTTAATGGTACTTATCGAAATTGTGCCTTACTTTTAGATTTATGTCTAAATATTTGGTACTGGTTCCCTTCAGGCATTTACTGACCTAACAAAACTATTCTGACAGTTTAGGCTCTATCAACAAGAAAGAAAGAAAATATTTGTTTTTGTTCAGTTTCACGTTTTCTTCTCCTCGTTTTAAAATCAAATCCTAACCCCAAAAATAATGCTCATTTGAGCCTCAGTCCCTGAAGCCCACATCGGGTAGGTGACATTGTCAAGGTTTTCTCTTGTGGCGTCCTAATGTGTAGCACACCCTGAATACTATCTCTTTTGTTTGGCATGTGAAAGCATGCACCAGATATTCTGTCTTTACAAACGTGATGAACAGGAAAATGGTGGAAAAAGAATTCCCACTATGACAGTCACATAATGTTCTGAGTTCATATTATGAGAAACTCATTTTGCCTCACTGCTCTGTCCCTTCATTCTGTCCAGTAAGACCGGACAAATGTCAGAAAATAGAGGGGAAATGATTCTCTTAGCAGCAGCTGTCCCTATCAAACGCTCTGTTCTGCTCCCCATTATTCTGAAACGAGGGCAGTTACGCAACCAAAGAACAGCACAGAGAAGAAAAGTGCAACTCAGTCCAAATGACTGGTAATCACAGCTTAGTATTTAGGCCAAAGGTGGCGCTGGTCTTTGGATAGAGCCTTGAGAGTCTCCCCAGCTCCCTGGGGCCCATGTGAAAGCTCCGGGTCCTCTAGGGGCTAATGCTATCTGGGCCCAGCTCCAAACTCGAGCCCCAGGCCTTGTTGGAAGCCTTGAGAGTTGCTCTCTCTTATCTCAGGGAAACACACTAGAGGAATTGCAAGCTTCCCACCCTCCACCCCCATCAACTACTGGGCTTTGTTCAGCGTGAAGCCAGCGTCTGCAAACACATACGCCTCTTGAGTTGGGGCCAGCTCGAGGCTAGAGGTGTTTTTTTCTATCAATTAGCTGAAACAAGACACTGTGGACAGACTGGAGTCACTGTGTGTAAATGTTTGGATACTGCGCTGAGTGTATTTGAGCATAATTGCAAGCTATGTCCTAAAAGCGGGCACCGCTTGAGCAGTTTGCCTGCAGTTTGTCAGGGTCGAGGATCAGGGGTGGCCGGAGATGCAGGAAGAAGCTACAGTGGTTTGTTTTGTCCCCGAGCCAAAGCTTCAAGAGGGAAAACAAGCCTGATGCGTGCACACAAACACACACAGATTCACAATGATATCCATTTATAATCAGCACTGAATGAGAAACAATTTGTAAGCGTCTCCTGTTTGCTGCCTCTCCCTCCAGGCTGCAGCAGCAGCAGCAGCGACGGTGAGGACAACGGACAGATGGACAGCCTGTACCTGAAGTCTCTGGAGGGCTTCATCACCGTAGTAACATCAGATGGTGACATGGTCTTCCTGTCCGAGAACATCAACAAATTCATGGGACTCACGCAGGTACACAGCCATTAAAGAACACTTAAATAAACAGACATGTGCAGACACTTCTAAATGTGATCAGTTCCTGTTTATTTGCACGCAGTCATAGTTGATGCTATTTTTTGTTTTTGCGGGGGGGCGTCCACAGACACAGAATAAAGTGCTATATAAATACAGGTGAATTTGGCTTGTAGTTTAAAGTGCTTTGAGAGGTCATAAACGTCACCAACGTCTAACATCTTTGCAAGTGACATGTGGATAGATTTTTTAAAAATTTTCTTTAACTTCTCAAGAAGATTGGAAGAAAGACATTAACCCAGTCAGACAGGACGCAGATGTGGATGTTAACGGGTAATCAGGAGAGAGAGAGGGGTGTGTTTATGTGAAATGCCTGTCATGCCAGCAGTGTGTGTTCAGTCAAGACGGTGAGCTTCAACTATAAACACATTGTGCATTTTCTTTCCCCACCCTCTCTGGCACCAACTTAAACAGCAAATCGTAAAGGAGAAGTTTACTGTAAACGCTGAAACAAAAGCTCTGCTTTGCAACCCTGCGCTGCCCTCAGCTTTCTGATTTCAGGCTTTCCTTGTGACCCATTTGCCTGAACTTTATGTCCCTTAAGTGGATTTTCTGGAAGAAAATCATATGTGGTAGAAGATTTGTCCAAAAACTTAGTGGTCTTTCTTCACTCCTTACACCGTTGCTGTGGAACAGAAGGGGAACACATTTCACTTCTGGTTGGACACTTGTCTTTGATGTCCAAATTTTATTCTTTTAGTGTGTTCATTACATATTTTATATTATATGGGGCAAATATAAACTGCATAGAAAGTGCAGCTTGACTGGTTATCGGAGGATTACAATCACAAGCTGCTAAAGTTTTGTTTGTTTAGTGTTGAAGCATTCTGTGTTTCTGGAGGTGACACACTTTTGTGCACTTGTTCATTCATGGTGGCTGCCATTACTCACGCTCACTACCCCCTCTTCATCTATTTATCCCAAACAAAACTACTGATGCTGGTGCCAGAAAAAGAAATATGCAGCCTGTCTAACTGATGGAACAACTACTATAACATGTAGAGAAAACTGTAACAGAAAGGCAATTGTATATCTTTATTTAACATTCCTTATTTCAGGATTTTTATTTCTTTGTTTGCTTTTTGTTTTTCAGGTGGAGCTTACTGGTCACAGCATCTTTGACTTCACCCACCCATGCGACCATGAGGAGATCAGAGAAAACCTCAGTCTGAAGACGACTGGTTAGTACACAGTCTCATACGCATTATCTTCTATCCACCTATGACAACTGTTACATTCACCTGATTATGGTTTACTGATTTAAAAAAAAAAAAATGCAGTCATTCTGACATGACAAATGATCGTTTCATTCTCCTCCTTATCAGAAAATGCCCCCTGAAATAAAGTAGAGGAATGTCTGTGGAGTCTTATCTACTCAATAAAAGAATAAATTTGCTCAGCAATTCACAAGCTAAGCTGCCCATTAGATAATAGGATATCCTGTGTACAAAGTTGATGTTTTGTCCCACCCACGTCACCATGAGGAGATCATAGAATGTATGTAACAGAAAACAAATTAAGCAACTCACTGGAGAGCATTAATACCACGCAAATTAAGAAATAATTAAAAAAAACAAATACACTTAACTATTTGTATTGTGAGCATCTTTTAAGTCTTCGAAGAAGACAAGATTCCTAAGCTTTGATTCAGACTGGAAACATTTAAAGGTCACCTGTAATACTCATTACCAGCTTCATATTGTTAGTAAAGGAACAATTCGCCTTTCAGTTCATTCTGTCTGAAATCAGCTCCTCCTCATTTATGGTCACCCTCCGTATTGAGTCGGCTTTCATGACCATATTGGGAAATCTAATCACAATGACATCATACAGTAACAAGAGCAAAAGAAACTGTGTTAAACTGTGTATTATCTAAGCCCGAGAGTGTGCCTCATATTAATTGCCTGTACATACTCTGACTTCCTTATTTGAAATCGTGGCAGTGGTTCATTAGGTCCACTCACAGCATTTTGAGATTATGTAAGTGTGAAGTCATGCAGCCATGCTGGATAACTGGAGGCATAATTTAAGTAAACTTCCCCCAATCATGTGAGTTTGTATTTTAATTCTAGTTTCTGATTTCAAATAATTTTTTTTTAATGTAGTGCCAAATCACAACAACAGTCGCCTCAATTATAAAAGACAATAAACTAATCTTGTGTTAGTTTGCTGCTTTCTGGACATTTCTGTGGACAAGTAACACCGGTGTGACTTCTTTACTTCAGTATGTGTAGTCGCACTGGTGTTACGTATCTGCAGCGTGACTCCAGTGAAATAAAATGTCATCAGCTGATGTTAACGCAAACAAACTCTGAGGCAGGATTTTGTGATTTTTATTTTATTTATTTATTTTTTGTTGAGAATTCGAACTCTTTCCCCTGCATGTATATATAGAGTATAAGCACACACAGAGTGTTGATAACGCTTATCAGCACTGGCCGCAAAACTTGCAAGTAGAACAATACTTTATATTTTATAGGCCTGTTTCTATTTAAATCTTTCACTCAGTCACTCACATATTAACGTACGCAGTTGTTTTTGGCCTGAAGAGACGTTCGTCTGGTGTTTGTTTTGCTCAACCTTAGCTATACGGAGATAAAGACTTGTGAGTTTGGAGTTTGACACAAGAGACACTTAATTTCTTGGCTCTGAGGCATCGCTTCAAGGCTGAACTCTCACTTGTGATGTAACAGCTTGGCTTACTTTCCTGCTCCTGTCATGTGGGCCGAGGGATGTAATGACTGTGTTAACCTTGATTTTTTTTTTTTTTT